GGGACCCCCACACCACAATTTCTCGCCCGACACCCACCCATACCCCCCTTCCTGGCCCCTGCACCCCCACCCCGGGAGATTCTGTTTTCGGGACCCCCCACACGACATCCCCCCCGAAGCCTACCCACACACCCCTCCGGGCCCCGGCATCCCCACCCTGAAAAAACTATGTTCTTGCGACCGCCCACACGACAATTTCTCACCCGAAACCCACCCGTACCCCCCTGGCCCCGGCATCCCCATTCCGAGAGAGCTCTGTTCTTGGGACCCCCCACGCGACAATTTTGTCGCCCGAAAACCACCCATACCCCCCTCTTGGCCCCGGCATGCTCACCCCAGGAGAGGTCTGTTCTTGGGATCCCCCACACGACAATTTCTCGCCCGAACCCACCCCTCTCTCGCCCCGGCATCCCCACCCCGGGAGAACTCTGTTCTTAGGACGCCCCACACGACAATTTCTCGCCCGCAACCCACCCATACCCCCCTCCTGGCCCCGGCATCCCCACTCCAGTAGACCTCTGTTCTGAGGACCCCCCACATCACAATTTCTCGCCCGAAACCCACCCATACCCCCCTCCTGACCCTGGCATCCCCACCCCGGGAGAGCTCTGTTCTTGGGACCCCCCACAGGACAAATTATCACCCGACGCCCACCCTTACTCCCTGCTGGCCCCGGCATCCCAACCCTGGGAAAACTCTGTTTTTGGGACCCCCCACGCGACAATTTCTCGCCCGAAACTCACCCATACCCTCCTCCTGGCCCTGGCATCCCCACCCTGGGAAAAATCTGCTCCTGGGACTTCCCACACGACAATCTCTCGCCCGAAACTCACCCATACCCCCCTCCTGGCCCCAGCATCCCAACGCTGGGAAAACTCTGTCTTGGGACCCCCACGCGACAATTTCTCGCCCGAAGCTCACCCATACCCCCTCCTGGCCCTGGCAGATCCACCCTTGGAAAACTCGGTTCTTGGGACCACCCACGCGACAATTTCTCGCCCGAAACTCACCCATACCCCCCACCCACACCCACCCTCCTGGCCCCGGCATCCCCATTCCGAGAGAGCTCTGTTTTTGGGACCCCCCACGCGACAATTTTGTCGCCCAAAAACCACCCATACCCCCCTCCTGGCCCCAGCATCCTCAGCCCGGGAGAAGTCTGTTCTTGGGATCCCCCTCGCGACAATTTCTCGCCCGAAACTTACCCATACGCCCCTCCTCGCCCCGGCATCCCCACCCAGGGGGAGGTTCGTTACCCTCCACACGACAATTTCTCGCCCGCAACCCACCCATACCTCCCTCCTGGCCCTGGCATCCTGGTGTTGGGGCTGCCTTGGGCCGTCTGGGGGCGGCCCTGGGCCGTGTCGGCGCCCTCGTGGAATCCTGCTTGGACGATTTGTAGGTGTCCTGGACCATCTTGGAGCGTCGGGAAGCGGAACAGGCCGAAACGCTAAAATGTACCAAAAACCACAGGAACGTCAACGAATTTGGCTTATTGGGGCCATTTTGGGAGTGCTCTTGGGGACCCCTTGGGCCGTGTTGGAAGGCTTGTGGGCCATCTGGAGGCCATTTTGGGCGTGTTAGAACGATAGTTCCGCGACAATAGGCCTCTTGGAGGCCTCTCGCAGCCCTTTTCATGTGTGTTGAGGCTGTCTTGGGCGGTCTGGACGCGTCCCTGGCGCCCCGGTCCTCCCATGGCGCGTCGGGGGCCCCCTCCCGGTAGCCATGTTGGAGCCATCGTCGGCTTCCTCAAGCGACGTTTGGACGCTTGTGTGCCCTCGTCCCTTTCTTGCGCCCGTCCTGGGGGTCTTTTGGGGCCGTCTTGGGGCCCTCTTGGGCTGGCCGGGAGCCATCTGTGGGTGTGTAGGAACCATCTGGGGCTCTCTTGGGGCGATCCTGGCGGCCTGTCGGGCCGTCTTCGTTCCCATGGAAGATGGACAGGCGAATCCTTGAAACAAAAAAAAATCTAAGAGAACGGAACCATTTTGCCTCTTGGGGCCTGCTGGGCCCTCGGCGGCCGTCCCGGGGTCGCCCCAGGGCCCCCGGTCCCCCCATACCCTGTCGAGGTCGCGGTCCCGGGCCCCCCGTCCTGGTGCACGGGTATATATATATATACACACACACATACATACATACAAACATACATACATACATACATACATACATACATACATACATACATACATACATACATACATACATACATACATACATACATACATACATACATACATATATACATGAGCTTAGGCTGCTACCCGTGCCAAGATCAATTTTCCTTCGGCATGCTCCGCTGCTTCGAAGCAACTCAAGAGAACGAGCGGCAGGCGGTGACAGGGCAGCACGAGCGCGCTGACCTGAACAGACTGAGCGAGCGGCACTCAAGACTCTGAGCCCCCTGGGTTGGCGAAGTGACGCCCAGGAAGGTGGAAGATGGGGACGGCAGGCGGGTCCTGGAAAGAACTTGAGCATAAGTTGCGACATACGGCACTGAACGCAGCAAGAGATCATTAATGTGCAAGCACAAAGCATGAGCTTAGGCTGCTACCCGTGCCAAGATCAATTTTCCTTCGGCATGCTCCGCTGCTTCGAAGCAATTCAAGAGAACGAGCGGCAGGCGGTGACAGGGCAGCACGAGCGCGCTGACCTGAACAGACTGAGCGAGCGGCATTCAAGACTCTGAGCCCCTACCCACTGCCATCCAGTGTCTTGGCCTTGGCCACCACCAGCGCTGCGAGATCTTTGCAGAGCGCCGCAGGGTAAGGACACGCTCTCGACGTCCAGAACACACCGAGCGGGTCTTTACCCTTCAGTGTTATGTGCGCCTTACCAGTGGCACTACACCTTTTCTGACAGCCTGTACACAGGCGGAGGGACGGCTGCGCTGGCAGCCAATTGAAAAGCAAAAAGGTTGTCGACTTGTTCCAGGGTACCTGATACTGGCAGTAATCAACAGAAGCCCACTCGGCGCGAGCTTCGCGGGCCCTGTCCAGAAGTTCCGGGACCAGCCAGAGGCGAGACGAGCGAGGGTTCTCGAGAGAGAAAGGGACTCCCGCCTCGACGGCAGCAGCCAGCAGGCGCAGAACGTTAGCGAGCAGACGATTGGCGATCCTAACCTTCTCAGCGTCCGCCGCCGCCAGCCGAGGGAGGCCGTGCACGTTCGCGTCGTCCCTGAGCGGCGGCGGACCCCGTCCATCATTCTTCCTTGCCCGGCTCCACGTTTTGCAGTCCAGGCCAACATGCACACCCGCGACCTCCTTCCGTGAGATCCTCAATACCAGACTGTCGATGAGGGATTCATCAAGAAGGTCGGCTCGCGGGTCATCAGCATAGTCCCAGCCTTCCGAAGCCCAGCCGGCGGCGTGGACGGCCTTGGCAAAGGCGGCGGAGCCGCACATGAGCTCGACGAAAGGCCTGGCACGGGCGCGGGCTGCGGCACCTTGGCAGAAGGTGCGGGGCGGCGCATGCTGGGCGCGGGCGCCGCCCGCAGCCGCGCCGACGGCGTGGCCGTCCGCGGCCTCTGGGGCCGCGCCAGGAGCCTCTCGAGCTCGGCGCGCAGCTTCGCGGGCGCCGCCTCGGCCCTGCGGCGGACGTCGTCCGGGAGCGCTGCGAGCTCCTGCTGCGCCAGCGCATGGGCCTCGTAGCGCTTCATCGTGTAGTCGCTGGCCCACCGTCCGCGCCTCTTGATCTCGCCCATGGATCGATACCTCTTGAGGCGATCGTGCGACGGGCCCCCGTGGCGGAGCTGGTAGGGCACGCACCTGGTGGGCACCCCGGCCCGCTCCAGCGACTGGCGCCACAGGACGCCGAGCTGCGCGGCGGTGAGACGGAACAGCGGCGCCTGCGGGTCCCCCGACCTCGCGCGCGCCAGCAACGGGCCCAGCCAGGGCACCTCGACCGAATCGAGGAGCAAGCTCTCGTCCGACATGCCGGTCTTGCTGCACTCGCCCCTCGCGCTGGGGCGCAGGTTGAAGCCGTAGTCCGTGCACGAGCCCGAGGGGGGGAAGAGGTCCTGCTCGCGCAGGCCGACGGCCTCGGAGGGCCTGAGGTACACCCAGAACATCGTCACCACCATGAGCGCCGCGTGCGGGGACCCCAGCTGCGTGGCCATCACCAGTGCGACCAGCGCGACCACCTGCCAGGGCATCGGCGGGCGCGTCTGGCCTGGGTCCAGGCGCCTCCAGCCCTGGAGGGCCCGACAGAAACGCGGCAGGCGGAGCGACCCCTTTCGGGAAAAGTCGGGGTGCGCCGAGATGTACGCGGCATATGTTTTCAGGACGGCGGCTCTCTCGAGCCCGATGCTCCAGGCGTAGTCGGCGTAGTTCATCAGCGCCAGGTCGACCTGAGCAGCGGTGCGCCGCGGCAGCCCGAAGAGGTCCACGAACGTCTGGAAGTCGTCGAGGGCGTCCTTGTAGTATGCCTGGGTCTCGGGCGACACCGCGTTCCACTCCAGGAAGCTCCTCTCGTCCCCCCCCACCATCGCGAACGGCCCAGAGGCCCGCAGACGGTGAACGATCCTCTCCTCCTTCGTCGCCCCAACGAACGGCCTGCCCTTCAGGAAGCTCTTCTGCACAATCTTGGGGCTGGCAGCCAGGCGCTTGACGACCACCGCGCGGGGCAGGCGAGAGACCTCCCGACTTGGCATCCCAGCGCCTCGACCCTTCATCGGAAGGGTTGAGCTCCGAAGGTATCCACCGATGCTCGAACCGCGACGCAGTGGCGACGGAGTAGGCAGCCTCTCTGCGGCAGCACAGCAGAAGGGGGTAGGAGGAGCATCGCCCACGTCCGAGCGCGAGCACGGTGCCGAGGTTGTCCCCGAAACGCAGATGACGGAGACCAAAGGAGGCCTGTGCCCTTGTGATATGACGTGATGTCATGTTCGAAGCCCTCCCCTCGATAATCGTGATGGGCTCCTTGACGTGAACCCTGGCCGAGACCACCTGCTTCCACTGGGGGCCTTGCAGAGCCTGGACGGGCACCTCTGTGAACTGCGGGTTGAGCTACCAGGGGTCCTTGACAAGGCCCATGCTGGTACTCCTGGGGGCCTTGACGGTCTCGAAGTCGCTGAAGACGTCGAACGGCCCCTCCGAGGCCTCGTCGCATCCAGAACGGACTCCCAGAGCTGACCGGCGTGCCGAGATAGCCGAAGGCATGCGATATCTCCATCTCTCACTGACTGACCCGATGCGCTTGACAAGATCCGATGACAGTGTTGTCTGGCACGTCGCCATACCCGTCAGGCAAGCGTCGTAGGCGAAGACACTCGGCGACCACTGAAGCCGAAGGTTAGCAGACATCAGCGGCAGCAAGCGACGGCACTGCTCGACTTCGCGGGCAGCTGAGGGCCAGAGACGGGCTCGCACGTGATAGCAATCTCTGACGAAATCATACAAACTCCTGAGGATCGAGAGCAGCTCCCTCTTCAGCATCAAATGATCAATGAGATGACCCACATACCTCTCCACCTCCCTCCCCGTGACTCTAGGGCGCGGCTCTAGCCACAGTGAGGCCTGGCGGAGGCGCTCGGAGCGCTCGGGCCGTGAGAAAACTCGCCCAGACGCGCCGTCGATCAGGCGGCCGAGGCTGGTGAAGACGTCGGCGGCCTCAACCACCTCGTGGATCTGCACGCCATGCTTCCTCCAGGCGTCGCAGATCTGGTGCATCAGGACATTGCATTTGTCAGGGTCAGTGCCGATCACGTTGATGTTATCGCAATAGGGTAAGAGGCAAGGGACCCCCCCGTCGAGCGGGGGCACCGGACCGTGATCGGTCAGCGCCCGCGGGAACCCGAGCCCCGAGGCAGAGCAGCAGACGTGCGCATTCGCACGCTGCCCAAGCCAGAAAGCCCAAGACCAGCCCATCGGCACGACCCGCAGGAACGGCCAGACCCAGCCCCCTGAGGGGCCCTCGGGAGTGCCCACTGCCTCAACCCCCCATTGCGACAACGAAGCCTGTGACACCGGCGGCAGCGAGAAGAACAGTCCCAGCTCCTCCCTCAGGCCGAGAGCGTAGAAGTAGTTGCGCACATCAGCCTGGGCACAGAAGAGCTTGGTGCTGAAGCTGCCGTCATCCTCACGATCATCAGGTAGTTGAAGGCGACCGTACGCAGCCGATGTCCCCATGGCCAGCGGCGGCGGGTCGCGAAAACGTCGATTTGGCACTCTAGCGTCCCAGACGAGACGCTGTGCTCCACTCTTCTTGGCCACGAAGAAAGGGGTGACCAGGTCCTTCGGGCGGTACGTGAACCCCAGCATGTTAGCCTTCACCAGGTCGCCGATGAAGGCGTTGTACGCCACAGGGTCACGCTTCAAAACTTCGTCCATGTAGGGAGTGACGGGCGGCTCGCTATCCAAGACGCGGGACCACTCGTCGGGAGTCTTCATCATCGCTTGCTCGTAGTCCAGCACGTAGTTCCTCCCGACCCCGTCGAGCACCGACTCGACAGGAGGTATGACCGCGCCCACTTCTGGGATGTCGACTCGGGATCTGACGTACCTTACCACGGGACTCGGTGCCTCGTCCGCGGTGTAGGACAGGCTGGAGGCCAGGAGCTCCTTCGCGGCTCCACGGCGAGAAAAGTGAGTGTCAGACTTCGGGGCCATCCTGACCTCGTTCAAAATGGTGGCGGTCGCGAGTCGCTGAGCCGCCGTGATGGGCCCACGCTGCTCGCAAGGAGGATGGATAGCGTCGAGGCCCGCAATGGCATCATTGGCACACTGCTCCGTCTGCCGCCTGTGAGCCAGCCTTCGCCTCGTCGACGTAGACGCCGGCACAGAAGTAGGCGGAGTCGGCTGAATGGAGGGCAGCGGGAACAGATCACGCTGGCGATCTTCAGCTGCTCTCAGCCCAGGAGGGCGTCCCATGTCACACGATCCTCGGACGGTCGGTACCTCCCGATCCCCGAAGGCCGCCCTGGCTGGAGGACGTGAGGTGCGTGCCGCTGGGCCCCCACGGCCGCAGTCGGTCGGTACCCCACGACCCTCAGCGCCAGGAACAGCGCGAGGACGGAAGGTGCGTGCCGCCGAGGCGCCACAGGCCTTGTGTCCGTCGCGGGCCGGCCAGCCCCCGCGACTGGGAGCCGTCATGCTCCCTGCCCGCCAGTACCGCTGGCGTCGGTCCTGCCGCTCCCCTTGCCGCGGCGCAGCTTCTGCTCCTCCTTCGCCTTGCGAGCCTCCTTGAGGATCGCGGCCCGGTCGCGCATGCCCGTGGCAACGTGGCGCTGCATGTCGGGCGCGACCGCGGCGCCGTGGCGATGAGTGGCCCAGCCCATGAACTCGTCGGCCGCGGAGTAGTCCGGGTTCGAGGGAGAGGCCGAGTGAGCGTCTTCTATGACCTGAATCCTGCGCACGACGAGCTCAGCGCTCTGGAGCGCTGGGGCATTGAGCTGATCCACGGTCACCATCGACTCCAGCACGTGGGTCAGAACCTCGTGTTCGTGAACCGAGCGATCTCCATCAGGGATACGCGCCGACCTCAGCCAGTTCGAATGATGAGTGACTG